CAAAATCTAATTTTAAAAATTGAAAGGCGGCGTTTTTGTTGGGGTTTTTTTTTTTTTTTTTTGATGGGTTACTCTACTCAAATTCTTAGTGCAGAGATAAGTAATAACTTCTTCAATTGACAAGTTGTCTCTCATCACGATTGATCTTATATGGATGCTGAAAGAAGTAAATGGCTAAATGGCATCTTGACACTTTCTTTGTATACCATGTGTTTTGTTAGGCGATGTTGAGTATGTAGGGTGCTGACTGACAGTAAAAAAGTTAGGCTGAATACATAGACACACACTTGAGCTTGTCCGAATTTTTCATTTAGCCATTTAAACTAAGCCTATGACCTATTAACACCTGACCTATATTCATAGAGATGTTGACCTTTGATGAAGATAAATTGATATACTGGCGTTTTCTTCCAACTCTGTATCCTAACTATGGACAAACTATCTCTAGACGGCCAAGTAAAAAGTAGTATTGATACTTAAATTGTGCCTATTAGGCACATGCTGCTGAGGTGGCATATAGCATGGGTATCTCATGTATTGAGCGTGTGAATATCAGAATATGTTGAAAATGAGATTGCATGTAACTTCTCTTCCTCATTTAATGGTTTCTCATCTCTCTTCTCTCTCAATGAAACAAGACCCATCTCTTTACATTTTCCCCTAAAACTCCACCAATGAACGACCACAACAACCCCCTTTTCCATGACAAAAACCAAAAACACTCATGCAAGCGATCTACTTCTTTAGATAAATATTGTCCATTGTTTCCATTGCAACACCCTGAAATGACGAAGTCAAATCAGCTACCACGAACCAGATTTTTTTTTTAATACATGGCTGAGTATTACAACAAAAAAAACACCTCAATTGACTTCAAAATTAGATTAGCTTAAATCTCAAGTTAGTGCACCAAAATGCAGCAAAAGAAATGAAAGAGTGTGCAAAGTGAAAGACAATCCAAGCTATGTAGCAATGACCATGAGAACTGTAGTGACGGACACAACACCTCATCGATCCCTCTCTCTAAACTCTTTAACAACCTATCAACATGTGAGTGATGGTTGATAAGAAAGAATTCATTGGTAACCATTAGGTCTTTCCAGGAAGTTCCTCTTTTCGTTGAAGGTTGGCCTTCTACAGCGATAATGGAGAAAAGATCGAGAGCAAAGATGGGAGGAAGATGAATGTTTGAGTGTTTTTTATTAGCTTTCGAATCTTAGTTTGGTTTCAATGGTGGAAAGAGTTGTTTTTCTGGGGGAGAAGAAGGAACGGCAGGAAGTTGAGTGCCACGTGTCTTTCTTTCATCAGCTTCTTTGCCAAGTCAGCTGCATGACTCACATCTCATATCCTTTACTGTTTCGGTTGCATGTCTAATATATACATTTTGAACATAAATTTGTTGTATAAACGTCATGAGCGTAGTTTAGGTAGCTAAATGAAAATTCGGACAAGTTCATGGTGTTTGTCTATGTATTCAACCAAAAAGTAAATATCTGTGAAGTTTAGGATAAGAAATATTTGGATATCGCATATGGATATTTAAGTAACTTGTTTTGGATGAAATATCTCCCTCCTTCCAATTTATCTTGCAATTTACCTAGTTTCATTGGAATGTTTTGATTGTAAGAACAAAATATCTGCAGGTCAGGGTACTTGAGGTGGCCCTTGTGAACAGATGGTCTAGGCAGGGGATGAAGCCAACCACTCACACACTTCTTCCTGATTGCCAGCAGTGTGTAAAAGACGATCCACTTTAGTTTTTTTTCTTTAGATGAAGAAGTGAGAAAAAGTCATCTCCTCCCCACCCCCACCCTCTCAAGGAAAAGAAAACAGCCCCACCATGAACAACAATTTTTGTTACAGACACAAATAATTATACAGGAATATTTCCATGGGTTTGCTTCTTGTGTCTGGAATCTAATAACAATGCTATATCAATCATTTCGTCATTTGTTTGACTGAATTATAGAAGAACTTTCCCTCTTGAACTGAGGATGTTTGTGCTTGAATCTGAAAGGCATAATACATAAATATACATTCAAACTTGGCCACAGTTGTCAAGTAAGCACTCCAACTTTGAGAGTGCACATCTAGACACCTCAACCTGGTCTCAGTTGACAACTGAACACTTCAACTCATCCCCACTATGTCTTGTGGACACGCAATGCTTACATGACACATAAATATTGGAGGTGTCTAGATGATCATTTTGTAAAATTGGAGTGTTTGCTTGATAGTTGCGGCCAAGTTAAATTGTCTATTTATGTATTATGCCAATCTGAATAGCTAATCGAAGAGATGATGACACAATCATTGGTTGTCAACGAGTTCATTCTGGTAGTAATAATTTGGTTGATTTAAACGCAACTGTCACTTTATTTCCAATTGTTGCAAGCCATTAGCCATATAGAATTGTGTTCTATGACTCTGGGCTAATCATAATGACATTCTCTTGTCAGATTGTCCAAATTGTTCTAAACTCCAACAACTTGATGGATAGAAAATTAATGGTGAAATCTTATGTGCACCTGTGAATTGGTATAAACACTCGATGCAGGTGATAAGTACCGCGTAACATTCAAGAGAGCCAAGACTAAAGTGACAACAAAGTTGCAAAAGTTATATATTTCATTAAAATTTGGAAGAAATTTTAATGGGCATCCCTTTGGAAGGGAAAGGAAGGGGATCCATGACAATTGGTTCATCATGATCTACCAAAGACCAGTTATATTTTGTCACAACATAATGAACAAATATAAGAATATTTAACTTTGCCAATTGGTACCCAGCACACAATCTTGGACCTCCTCCAAATGGTATAAATGCATATGGTTGAACAGGCTCTTCAAATCTACTTGGATCAAAATTTTGAGGCTCTTTAAAATACTCTGCACTATTATGTGTACCATATGTTGTCCACAATACCTGCATAAAACAACAAAAATTAACATCCTTTTTCGTACTGAGTCTGATATATCCCGTCTTGTTTGGGATTGAGGCATAGTAATTGTTGTTCTAGTGATCGTGAGTCGTAACAATAGTAACTTTATAGAATATTCTTACCTTCCAACCTTTTGGAATAGTGAATCCATCAAATTCAATGTCAGCAATTGCTTTTCTAAATGAACCAAATATAGGAGGAAAAAGCCTCATACTTTCCCTAGCAACTTGCCATGTATATTTCATTTTTTTTGTGTCTTCCAAAGTTAGTCCCTCATCTGGTCCTTTGTTGCTCATTATATTAGCATGTTCTGTCACAAGTCCAAAATTTTCACATTAGAAAATTTCGATATAATTATGAAAATAATAACTAGTTTCTGTACACGTACCTTGAAGGAGGAGAGAATAGCAAGTCGGATGTTGAGCTAACATCCTAAATGTCATAGCAATAGCAAAAGAAGTTGTATCATGTGCAGCAAACACTAACAAAACTACATTATCAACAACTTCATCTTCACTAACTTCACCACGAATCATTGCTTTCACTAATCGCGAAAGCAATGACTCATCTAATTTCCCTTCTTCATTTTGAACCCGCCCAAATTCAATCTCATTTCTCTTCTCCCTAATAACCTCAACAAGAAATTTTTGTACTTTCATCCTTGCACTTGTAGCCCTCGAAAATTTTGACCCTGGAAACTTAAAAGGAGGCGAAAAAGCCCCTTCCAAGACTCCTTCAAACATTTCAAGTAATCCTGGTTTCACCACGATCCCTAAAAAACACTCGAATACTATTTTAAACGTCAAAGATTTAGTAAGATGATAAAGCTTAATCGTCCGGTCTACTTGACCTTGACTAGTACAATTTATGTACAAATGTGATTGAATTGTGTTACAAATTTTGGGTACCATTGTATCTAGACTAGTAGATGTAAGACTAGATGAAATTATGCCACGTAGGAATCGATGTATATCACCTTTTTTCTCCATAATTGAATTTTTTCCCATAAGTTCAACTGATGAAGTAGGCCAAGAACTTATTACCAATTTGAATTCATTAGACATGAAGAACATATTGGCTTTTGCTCCACATACAACTACAGTTGGTTCACCCATAAGTCTTGTTTTGAATGTTTTTCCATATTTTTCGATACGCGGTTCGACGAATTCTTCGAATAATTTGTTCTTTTTTTGAGATTTGTAAAATTCTATGGTTTCACCTAGCCATGGTAGCCCCATTTCTCCTGGTGGAAGTGTTTTTTTGGTAATATGATTTTTGTGGACATTTTTGTAATATTGTTTTAAGAAAAGGGAAAAGAAAATTATGAAAAAGATTGATGATAATAATAAGGTGAAATTAGAAAGAGGAAAGTTCATATCTATAGCCATTAACAATGAAAGGGAAACTAAAACAAAGCTAATTTTGGGTTTGTTAATAATTAGCTTTTAAGAACTATATGCTAAATTTATAGTACTCATTTGCATGGGAAAGATTACTTGTTTTAGAATAAAATGAAACACTTTAAAAAGTCAAAAGGTATTTGGTCGATTGAAAAGTCAACCAATTATGCAAAACCTAGCTAATTAATCACTCCTTTAACAATATTCCGTCATTGATTTAATTTATATACACTGACAGTATATATTAACTTATCATATGTTGTTTTTCTTATTTTTTTTCAAATTACTACATCACAAACGATTTTTTGATAGTTATTCTTAAAGTGATATAATATTATATAGTGTCAAAATTACACTATTATTAGTATATAGACGTTAGATCTATATATAATCATCCTTTTTCTTCAGATTTAATTATCGTAGGTAATGCATGTGAGGTTGGCGGTCCAAAAGCTAAGTTCTTCACCCTAGAAATTGAAAACCTTTGAATCATCAACAATTCATCATAATATATCTGGAAGATTTATATGGAAAGAAAAAGAAAATAAAAACTTACCGGCCACCACGATTCTATTAATATTTGTTAATTGATTTTTGAAATATTTAATAACCTTAGTATCCCTAGATATCTGGTGTGTCTAATATTTTAATTAAATATGGTTTAATTAATAGCTTCTAGTTGACGTGAAACTTGCAGAAGCATCTTCTCCACTTTCATCGTGTTGAAAAAAATAAAAATAATCACCAAAGAATGTGGTGTAAATAAAATTTCGCATTCGAATCCTTGGTATGAAAAAAATCCTTAGTGAATTAATCTCCTTTAATACGAATATCGAACCTGATAAAGAAATCCTTAACAGAAAGCATTTCCCCCCGAATGAAACCCTATACGATGCAAGTTTGGAAATATATACGTCATACCGCACCTTATAGGAAAGGTAAATATAATAGTGAATAATGAATTGATTTGCGGATCAGGTTCGCACTATGATTAACAATTATAATAAAGATAATACCCTTTTTATTTTTGAACAAGGAGCAAGTGCATAAATGATATTTGGTATAAAGTAAAAGTGGTTCTCATGGACAAGCTGAAGGAACGAGACTGAAATAGTTCAGACATGTGAAGATGAAATGTAGGTGCTCTAATGAGGAGGTGTAAGAAGGCGAGAAATACAGGTAGATCAAAGAAAATATTGATAAAAGATTATTAAACAGAACCTAACATATCTATAGCTTATCGAAAACGTAGCCTAAATTTAATTCTCAAAATTTATACTCGAATGATTAAAGAGGAATCTCATCTATTCCGCCACGTTCTTAAAGTAGGCGGTATTAATTATTTGGCCAACAGATTCGTTTTGGGCGGTCATTTTAAACTTGAATCTTACTGCACCTACATGGCGTGGTTTTTAATTTATTCTGCTAACTCTGTTTAGTACAGAATATGCTGTAACCACAATTTAAAAAACCAAAATATGTTGTAAGAACCTAAATAGATATGTTAAACCTCTACCATATTTTCTTTAAAGATGAGTCAAGATATGTAATATTGGATAAGGAATTCTCTCTTTTTCAATTGAATTTGTCGTACCGAGTTTACCTAATATATTCGTCTATGTATCTTAAGTGATTTGTAAGTTATTGCACTGGGTAATTAAACTTATTACTCTTGTCTTCTTTTATTTGTCTAGTTTATATTTTGTAATCTCGATACACAAATATTATTTAAGTGTTTATTTTATTTAGAAATATCATTACATGTGATTGCTGATAGATTAGTCATCTTCGTGATGATCAGTATTAGTAGTTAGAAATAATATTGGGAATTAGATACTAATCATTTCTTGCTAATTAATTGCTGGTGGTTGTAAATTAGTATACTTTATATATATATTCTGTTTCCCTGTACAAACACAGTATCTTCAGAATCAAAGAAATTTTAAAAGGATACACTAAAATTTTGTTCTTGATACACTTGACCAGTAAAAGATTTTGTTTTTTAGACCATTTAATTTTGGATTTGTCAGCACCGGGCTTGCCTAGTGCAGGTTATCTTTCTTGTGTAGTTTGTCACCTACCCGCATAAAAGCGGGGGTTTATAAAAAGTAATGCACTATATGCTCCTTCCGTTTTGTTTTTCTTTTATTTGATTCAGTATATTAGAAATAGATATTTTTTTTGTTCATTTTAAAAATATCCAACAGTTAATTAGTTACTTTTTTTAAAAAAAAAATATCCTTATGAGTAACCATTTGACAAACCTATTGTTGTACTAGTAGTTAAATTAAAAAGTTTCAAAGGATAGTTAATAAGGATAATATATCAATAAAATAAGGGAAAAGGGTCAAAAATACCCCTCAACTTTGGTTTATAGTTTGACCTTACCCTTGCCGTTAAAATGAAGTTAATTTTACCCCTCCCGTTACTAATTTCACCAAAATTACCTCTCATTTGACGGAATCCCCAAAATTGACCCAAATTAAAAAAAAAAAACCCTATTCCCTATTTTTAACCCAATTCCCCGACCTGCCCCGACCCCTCTAGAGGATAACCCGGTTCACTAGCATCTTTGTAAAATTTAAATTTAATCAAAAAGAACATTGAAGTAGAACCATTTTGAGATAGCCACCATGGAGTATTAGTTAGAGCTGAAATATGTTGTAGCATCTATGTGAACTTTGCTTTCTGTGTGCCTGCTAGCTCCAGTGAGAAATCAAATTTGTTAACTCAAATGGTTGTCCCCTACAAATTGAGCAGTTTAGGAATTAAATAAGACAATTCAGAAAAGCACATTGCCTCTTTTCATCAACTAGATAAATTAATTAACTTGAATCCAAATAAACAAAAATATTTACGAATTTCACTACTTGAATTACAGAGTTACCACAGAAAGACCAATATGGATCAGAGTTATTTTCCAGAAGATCAACCAAAATGTACCAAATAATTCGTATGGACTCTAATAAGCCACCAAATTCCTCGTAAATAAACTCATACACCAAATGAAACTACGAGACCAAATTTTAGAGCTAAGACAGTTTTGTACAAAATCGTCAGCTAGAGGGGTCGGGGCATTGGGTTAAAAATAGAGAATAGGGCTTTTTTTTAAAATTCGGATAATTTGGGTCAATTTTGGGGATTCTATCAAATGAGGGGTAATTTTGATGAAATTAGTAACGGGAGGGGTAAAATTAACTTCATTTTAACGGCAAGGGTAAGGTCAAACTATAAACCAAAGTTGAGGGGTATTTTTGACCCTTTTCCCTTATTTTATTGATATATTATCCTTATTAACTATCCTTTGAAACTTTTTAATTTAACTACTAGTACAACAATAGGTTTGTCAAATGGTTACTCATAAGGATATTTTTTTTTTAAAAAAAGTAACTAATTAACTGTTGGATATTTTTAAAATGAACAAAAAAAATATCTATTTCTAATATACTGAATCAAATAAAAGAAAAACAAAACGGAAGGAGCATATAGTGCATTACTTTTTATAAACCCCCGCTTTTATGCGGGTAGGTGACAAACTACACAAGAAAGATAACCTGCACTAGGCAAGCCCGGTGCTGACAAATCCAAAATTAAATGGTCTAAAAAACAAAATCTTTTACTGGTCAAGTGTATCAAGAACAAAATTTTAGTGTATCCTTTTAAAATTTCTTTGATTCTGAAGATACTGTGTTTGTACAGGGAAACAGAATATATATATAAAGTATACTAATTTACAACCACCAGCAATTAATTAGCAAGAAATGATTAGTATCTAATTCCCAATATTATTTCTAACTACTAATACTGATCATCACGAAGATGACTAATCTATCAGCAATCACATGTAATGATATTTCTAAATATATTAATTATATATGCATGATCTATTGGTCCATTTGTTATGATATATTTCTAGTTTACAATATACTACTATCCTTTCTATACCAAATAAATAAATAATTGCTCGAGTAGTAGACCACGAAGAAACTCTTAAAAGTTGTTACTTTATCTACCAAAAGGATATTGAATTGACCTTTCCCTAATTTCGATCCGAGAATATTACTGTTGATATTCTGACCAAAAAATTAGACATCTGATGCCCTCGATAGATCGTGTATACAAAATTCCAAGCATCTTCGAAAAGATAATAGTTGTGCACACTATTGGTGGAAAGGTATGAAGAGGGATGTCGCTGAGTATGTGGCTAAGTGCGTAGTGTACCAGGTGGTTAAGGCTGAGCACCAGAGACAATAATTTATGTAATGATATTCTAAAACATCAAGATGAAGAGCTAATATTGTATGGACCAATGATCCACGTATCAATACTTTAATTTAGTTGAGAAGTAATTTAATACTTAAAATCTTACTTCAAAATTATTGTTGTTGTTTTAATTTTGAGAATAAACTCCATCTACTACACTAGCTAGTTGGTACTGAGGATTATATATAGCCCCATTTACTTTTCTTCTGACTTACGTACCCTATAGTAGTAGCATTATAGACTTATAGTGCACCCCTATGAACCTTTTGCATTTGTGGACTTCACTCCCTCACACCAAACATTACATTTACTCAATAACGACAAATCTAGTGTAATCCCACGAGTGGAGTCTGAGGGGAATAAAGTGTAGGCAAACGATACTATTTCCGAGGGACCCTTAGTTCAAAGACATTGTAGCCTCTCCTCTTTTTTTTTACCACCAAAGAGTTTGAAATTGTAAGTTGTCCAAATGGAAAAGATAATCAAATGACATAAATGTAGAAGATCAGTTAAGCAACCACAAGGCCACAAAAGCAGAAGAGTGTAAATATGTATCATAGATGAGAAAACCTACCTCATTTGGTTATTTTTCAAAATGACAGCTCATGCCAATGAAAATGGTTCTTCTTATTTTAATTTTTGGTCTCATCTCTCTCTACATTTACTCCTAGAGGACATTGATGAGTACAGATAGATACCCATTACATAAATTAGTATTCAAAGGTGCATCCAATGGTATCACTCAACAGTCGATGAAATGAGTGAAAATCGCGAGAGATTAGAGTTCAAATCCCACCAGAAACAAAAAGCTAAGTGATTTCCTCTCATATGTCAAAACTCAAAACCTTGGTAGACAGAATTATCAAATATCTATGTTAAGTAAGAGATAACAAGTACTCGAAAGATTAGTTAAGGTACGCGTAAACTAGCTCAGTCACCCCTATTATCCAAAAAAATATAGTCAAAGTGACTTTAACACAGAGAACAGACATACACAACCTACCAATCCTCAAAGGAGGGACAATGCTTTTGCTGTCTCATTTATTGCTGCAATTCAATGTCCTGCCATCACCTACTTGTCTGTCAGGACCATTAAGGTTTCATATATTTTGTTTAATAGGTCATTAAGTTTCATATTTATGGCACCTCTAATCTTATTTAGTCATTGTTTTTTCAAGTATCTTTTTGTAATCTATCTCTATCATTGGACATAATCTTCTGTTAACAATCAAATCATAGTTAGGATGGCCTAGTTGAGTGTAATAAACTGGCATAATTCAAGAAAGGGTCCCTACCTGGATTCAGCTGGACCTTGCTGCTGTTTCTACAGTACTAAATTAAGAGGAAAGGGTCAGAAAATACCCTTCTACTTTCGTTTATTAGTTAAGTTTGTCCCTCGTTATACTACAGGGTCAATTTTACCCTTTCCGTTAGTAAACTTAACAAACATGCCCCTCAATTGGACAGATTCCCCAAGTCGACTAAAATTACACGATTTCCCTTAAATAACCTGGACCCCTCTTTTAACCCAACCCAACCCACCTAATTAATACCTCGTTGGCCCGATAGTATAACGATTAACGAGAGACAAATTTAACTCACAAATAAAAGTAGAGGAGTATTTTTTACCCAATGAAAGTAGGCTTATTATTGTTATAGTCCCAATCAAATAACATATGTGAAATTCTTTAGATGTCCAAATAGAGTCTTTAGAAAGAGCATAAATGCTTACTAGTTTCTTGGTTTAATGTGAATACAAATGAAATGAAATCTTTTACATCACTTTTCACAGTAGGGAGCAAATAAAAAAACCTTAGGAAATAAGATGCAGCAGCCATGAACTGACACTGACCTCTTACGAACCAAACATTCTCTGATGATCAATTCCTCTTGTAAGTCTGGTCTCCCTTCAAGGGTTTCTTCGTCCAAGACATATCTAGGATTTGAAGTTTATTGGTTCCTACGATGAGTACCTCAAGTTAATATAGATAATAATTACTGCTTTTACAGTCAAATATTTATAAATATTTAAAGTAGTTGATTTGTTAATACATATACATGGTATTGACAAAAGATTTACGTGAACCCATAACTTATAAGCTAGGTCCGCTTCTGTCTTCATCTGTTCCGTTTACCCAATGAATTAATTGAACAAAGTTTAACAGAGAAGAAAATAGTAATGTAGACATCCTGACCTCTCTCACCATTTTTCAAGTGACTGTTTAACCAACTAGCCTCTCTCATATAATTGGAAAAAAGTTAACCTGATTCCGTCTCTACAACATTCCAACCTGCAAAATTTAGAAATATAAAATGTACTCAAGAAACAGAATGATCCTACCCCCTACAAGAAGATGATTTTTTTTTTGCATTGTGCACGCTATAATTTACAATTAAGCAGATATAGCGCAATTAACTTGTGCAATAATCCAGGCAATCTAAGATAAACGAACTTTTCTGCCCGAAAGTGTTTATACAGGATTCAATAACTAGGGCCATGGAACATATTTTTAAATATTTTGTTAAGTTTAGAGCGATGGTCTTTCTCAACATTTTGTAACATGAATTGAAGTGACTTTAAATGCGCCTGCAACATACACAGCTAACCACAAACATCTTCATCTGTTTATATTAATTTCTGTATCTCATCACTCTTTATATACTGCTACTCACTTGTATCACTTCCCATCACTGAGTTCTCCATCTCTCCCTTCATTCGTTCTCTTTTATCTCTGTCAGTCTCCCTGAGAAGCAAACCATCATGGCGAAACAGAGAAGCAACCAGAGTTCTCGAATTCTGTGGGCCGCATTTGCTGCACTGCTCTTGCAGAATTTGGTCATTCCCGTCGTGTCTTTTGCTTCTTTTGAAGAACAGAAGAACTACTACACTCCTGATCCACATACCGGAAGTCCACCAACAGGTCTCCTTACCCTCTCTCTATATATATATATATATTTTGCTATTTGCACTTCAAAAAAACAACTTAAGTGGCCATTTTTATAGATTACCTTAACAATTTCCTAAGCATTGTATTTGCTAATATACGGAAAGCACTATAGATTATAAAATCGTAAAGTATCAAAGACCTTGCCACCTTATATTGGTGTTCCTGTTGTTTTTTATAAATTTTGGAGGCAGCATTCACCCCCACATTATTTGTTAGGTTGGTTTCATAATGGGGTTGTTCAGTACAAACACCTTTCATTTTGCTAGTTACTAGTTTTCGCCTTTAGGTGGAAGCATTTAGTCCTAGACTATTTGGAAAGTGTCTCAAGTTATACTGACTTCACTCTTACAATTCATTATGTGGATAACAGGTTCAAGCACACCACCTTATCATGCAACTCCATCTCATGGCAGCAAACCACCAGCAAACTGTGGTAACCCTCCAAAAGGAGGGCAGCATCATGACCCTACCCCAGCTTCTCCTTCAGGTGGCTACTATCCCCACCCTCCAAGTACACCTACACCTACACCTAGTACCCCCTCCACACCCACTATTGTAACCCCACCAACTACTCCTATCATTGACCCTGGCACTCCAAGCACTCCTGCTACCCCAACACCATCACCTCCTTTTACATGCGAGTAAGTTTACAGCTTTTTTTTTTCTTTTTTCTGTAAGTACGAGTAATTTTACTAACATCGTCAACTTTATAACCTGTTTGGCCAACCTTTCTAAATCTGCTTATTTTAAAAAGTACTTTTGCAGAGTAGTAGTTTGCGTTTGGAAAATCAATTTGAGAAGTACTTTTGCAATATTAGAGTAGTAGTGTGTGCTTGGCCAATGTTCAAAAGTGTTTTTGGGGAAAAAACTATTTTTTTTAGCTTCTGAAAAACAGTGTTTGGTACTACTCAAAAGCACTTATTTTTTCCTAAAAGCTTGGCTAAACACGTCAACTTTCTAAATATAACCACTTTTGGCTTCCCAGAAGAGCTTGGTCAAAAAGGCTATTAGTTTGCATTCTTAACTTCAATATGCAGCGTCTTATAACACGTCATGATATGATTGCAGTTACTGGAGGACTCACCCGGGACTGATATGGGGTTTGTTTGGTTGGTGGGGAACTGTTGGTGGTGCATTTGGCGTGGCTAGTGCTCCAGGGCTCGGCTCAAACATGAACTTGTTGCAAGCACTTTCAAACCAACATACCGATGGACTTGGGCAACTCTACAGGGAAGGCACAGCTTCTTTGCTGAACTCCATGGTTAGCAAGAGGTTCAGTTACAGCACCACACAAGTCAAGAACAATTTTGCTACAGCACTCAGTTCAGACGAGGCTGCAGCATCTCAGGCTCAGTTGTTCAAGTTAGCCAACGAGGGTCAGCTCAAGCCCAGAGCTTGAAAAGTCATTTTCACAATTATCGTCAATATCTTGTTATTTCTAGTTCTTTATGATATTCAGTGTGTTTACTTTAGGATTAAGGATTAATGTTTTTCCGCTTGTCGTTATCAAAATTAATGTTTTTTCTGTTTGCTTTTGAATCTTACAAAATCAAGAGGATACCAACCTTCATTGTTTAATCAGTTATCAGTAAAACATTTCTTGTTGTATTACAAGTGTGAATGACTGTTCCCAATTTCAGATTATTCTTTTTTTTTTCTTCTTTAAGGTAAAGAAGGTATCTTTCCAAATAAAAATAAAGTGCTCTACTTTTGTTTATAAAACAAACTAACCTCAGTAATCAAGAACAAAAAGAGAAACACACACCCATTGTCCTACCTCCTTATTAGTTGAAATGCAACAGATGTGTCAAGGCTAATTGAGCTTCTTCAACAAACTTTACCGCAGCTTCAATTTCTCATGAGGGTGTTGATGACAAAGTGTGATTATTATTCAGCGCTGAGCAATTGATCTGAAAATAAAAGAAGGCATTCTTGTAAAGTATGAACACCATTCAATACAGAAAACATGACATGTTTATGAAGAAGTTCATGCCAAACATCAATGCTGCACCATACACTTAGCAGCTTCCCTGTCATGGATAATATCAGTGAGTTGACATAACTAAAACAAAATTGTTCCATCCATACAACTATTTGGAAAGTAGAAGGAAAGCACAATTACAAATACAGCTAGGAAAACATTGGTCTTATCAATCTTGATTCAGGCAATGCAGATAACAGGACTCATCAGCTGATATGTCCAGTTTGTTCTATTTCATTACTTTTTATATGGCAATATATTTTTATTAAATTGTGTGAACATCTCATCCAAAAATTTAAACTATTAGAGAGTGCAAATGGAAATCACTTTCGATAAAAAGTGATAATGAAACTCAAAGTCAAGACCTCTACTTTTCTACATGCTCCAATAACATACTATATTGTATGACTGCCTCATCTAAAAGTTATATTGTTAGAGATAATACACTTTTATTTAAATTAATAATCATGTCTTTAACACTCTCATTTCTTCCAAGAGATTCTTTCCTTCTTAACTGGAGAGATGTTCAGGTAGATAAGACATAGAAACAAATATCATAAAAGATATCTATATAATATAAAACACTATAATAAAATATTCCATTAATTGACTGATGGGCATCACAATTTTCATGTTGTCTGTATTTGATAGTTAGACATCATTTCCTATTGAACCTCCTGATAAAACAATATACCAGCTAAGATGCAAGGAAATACGTGCACCAGAGCCTTCAGGTGAAACAATTAATGCATCAGCCATCTTAGAGTAATTTAATGAATGGATTCAAAATTAACTCCATTTGATACAATGAGCTGCATCTTTCACTATTGGACCCATAAAACTGCAGTTAATGGCTAAAATACACTAGAGGTAACAGGTTTGAGCTTACAGCAGCAATACAAATAATACAACATGAAGAAACACATATCTAACTACAGCAGAAGTAACAGGTCCGTAACTACGCTCAACAATAAAATAAATATAACATGAAAGAAAAGCATATCCCGCTCAGAATTTCGTGTATACTGACAAGATTGCTAAATTAAAGACTTGTAACTGATTTCTCTTATCAGAATCTCTTCGACAAAACATACTAAAGATTTTCTTCTAGGATGTCACATTCCATGTATGTTTACTAATGATTACCCAAGAAAATCCCCTTTAGATAAGCTGTTAAAACTCGTTGAGAAACCCCAGATAGAGTTAAGAAATAAAAATTATTTGAGATAGGAGAATAACAGACATGCTCTCCCACTATCCTCTATAAAGTTACATTTCAGATTTCAGAGAAATCTAACAATTTGAACTACCAAAGTTCCTGAAAAGTCATTGGTCTGCATCTATCTAGTCAATGAGGAGTATTTACACGAAAAGTTCCCTCATAAGTCATAACGGACTTGCACGATAAATTAATACATCTACAAGCATGTGTATCTCCCAAAAGAACAAGGAATGGAAATTATTGATAAAGAATGCATATTAACTTCATATTACTTTTCGAATGTAAACTTCATAGTTAGGATGTTAATTTTGTTTGTTCAAGTGCATCTATGGCTTAAAACAGAATAATAAAATAAAATGTAAAGGTTCTGAAGGAACAACATATTCAGTAGTGTACCTACAGAAGAAAAAAAAAGACAGCTCAATGACAGAGAGGTGGATGGTTTTGGTTATGCACAGCTGGGCAATAAGCAGTAACACTGTCAGACCTTTGGCTCACAGCATAGTATGCTTTAAAAGAGCAGGTGTATTTATGTACCACCACAATGAATGCAAACCAACCCAACAGCATATCTTCACAGCACAAATTAGATGCATCATAGTAAAAAAATACTAAATGGAGTCTTGGTATGCACCTGAGTTACTTCTCCCTGCTTCAGACTGGCTCAAGTTGTTGGATTATCACTAAGCCAGAAAGGAGAACACAAATAAACTGAACTCACACCAAATTTGGTTGGTGTAAATATTCTTTAACCATTAAAGGTTTATGAATGTCTTAACACAGATATCTATCTTTAAATAGCACAAGTTTTCTTTGACAATGCAATGCAAGTATATACTCTTTACAATAACTTATGAATGTTCTACGAACTCTCTAGCTGACAATTCATAACAATTCTTCATCTGAGTGAAGATCTTCAGCATAAAAGTTGTGTTCCCATCAGAATTTAGGCACAAGTAGTGGATGCATGCTTGCATCTTAAAGAAGCACATATTAAGAGAACTTATATTTTCTAGCTTACAAGGAGTAGGATGCTTGAGTTGATTTGAAATATCCCACACATGACAGATAAAGAGAGAGAGAATATAAAATAGTATTAAGATGCTTCGAGTGCTGGCGCATAGCTAGAGAAGCTGTTGTCAGAGTTACTTCCCTATAACCTCACATCAGTAATACAAAGGATGTCTCCTTGAGGGAAATTGCAAGACTGACCAGAAACTGTCCATAGATATACTCTGTAGAAAGAGACAATTAAAGGGAAGCAGATGAAAATTACAAAGAGTATAATGAGAGTCACATGCAACAAACAATATTTGATATGCATCACGGTTGCAGAGCTTTTACCCCATTAATTTCCAAGTGCTGACCCTATCGGCTTGTATGAAGGGAATCCAACCATTCCAAGTGAACTTTGTACCTTAGCACTAGCCTGAATAACTAGGAAAATCTATTGTAGTAATGTTACAACTTAGATATCTGGACTGTTACACAACTCTTGAGAGCTCACTCTGATAAATAGTTGACGTAGTCTCTTTACCTTATTGAAGGATCATACATTGTACAGATTTCCTTTTTTCATGGAAACCATCACATAACCTGATCCCCTCCCTCAACATGAGCAAATCATATATCCTACTCATGCTGAAGGATCCTCAAAACTCAATCACTCATAAAGCTTATACAAGTTCAGTGAATCCGATATCAGTTGAAGCTAATACAACAAAATTCCCCACATGAGTGAATCCAATATCTATAACAAAATTCTCCACAATTGGTTATTTTATCCAGAATCCTATCTTCCAGCTTTTTTTTTTTCCATAACCGTGGTGTTCGGACCAGCTCGACATGATATGTTGGAATTCAAAAATATTAAGTTTACACACCGACAAAATCTAATTCTAATAGATAACTAAATAGTCTTTGTTTTTCCACCATAATGCACTAGAGCAAGAATTGAATCATAAGATGATCATGAATTAATGGTGTCACCAGTAGCCTAGGAAGGTAAGATAATGCAAATGTCTCAGAGTCATTAGGTCTGGAAGACGCACCCAATTGATACCGTTGGATTATACATCTACCAGATGAACTTCACTTCATTACTTCCAACAGATGAAGTTCATTCTCATACAAAATTCTCACTCAATTTCTTCTTGAGACTACATTATTATAATTTATACAGGAAAGAATTTTAAAGACACATGAAAAAGGTAGTAGCAATAAACAATCACCCATGCTGAAGCATAATTAACACAGGAATTAGAATAACAGAGATAGATAGTTTGATTTCATTTTTCCAATCTCTTCAAGAACAGAAAGGTTGTGTTTCCTTTAATGTTGAGATAACAAGAAATTATAGGAACTTACACTTGAAAAGTTCCATCCCTAAGCACAAGAAAATAGACCTAGTTTCAATTACTTTCCTCTCAAAAAAGAATGCAGACCTAGTTCCTAAGTGTGCACTATACATTCTTTTCTGGATATAAAAAAAGGACAATCCAAATGATAACAGTAGACAGCCCTTTTCACATGTAGGAAGTTTGAATGCTGATACAATATTTTTCATCACAATGTGACCACAGTTATTCCCACTTGGACTTCAACCTCGTGAAATAACATACACAACAGTATTGAGATCTGTTGTCACCCAGTCCAAAGCCATGGCAACGATATTCCATCCTTGATGACTCAAGGAAGATTACACAGCATAAGAATCTGATCAGCTCATATGAGTTTCAAACCAGTTAAAGATTTGCTCAGACTGCAAACTGGTCATTTCATGATAAGCAAACGCAAGGTTCATTTCTTCTTGAATGTGATTTGCTATGGACTTGTCTGGGAGAATAATCCCACTCTCCTTGAGAGCTGCCTTCCATTGTATTGCACGCCCGTCATTTCTCATGAAACCTTTTGTATCAACAAAATCCTTTTCCTGGAACAGACTATACAACTTCACAGAGGTAGCTAGATCAAGACCGGGAATCCTATCAGATAATAGATTTGGTGACAATGTAAATTCCATGCATTTGACCTCTGCAACATCAATGCCTTTACCCTGCAGGAGTGTCAAGTATCTGGCTATTCTCACACTTCTCCTTTTATCTTTGGGCATGTGCACAAAAAGGGTAGGAGGATAACTCTTCGAAATGTCCATTCGATCAAACAATCCCTCAGCAATCATTATTGTTATGCTACTGAATCTTAAATCAGTTGCAAGGACTGAAACAAAATATCCACCAGACGAAGCACCCAAAGCTACAATAGGCAAGCTTTGAACCTTTTGTTTAACAACCCACCATTCGATAATATCTTTAACAATCACCCTTTCCTCTTCCATCGACCAGCACCTCCCAGCACTAGACACCGCAAGAACTGCAAATCTCCTAGCTAAGGCATGAAGAACGATAAGCCTTTCTTCAGGTAAACCCACACAATTTGGGCACTTAGGTGATCTGTCCCAAAAGTTCGCTGCTTTACCATTACAACCATGTGCCAGAAAAAGAATTGCCTTGGGTGAGTCCGGTATTTGCCATATTAAATCTGTTCCATTTCTGAACTCCACAGTCGGGTCTAACTTAACCGAAAAGCTAAAACTACTCAAATTTTCCTTAATTAAACCAGACAATGAATCAGATTTTTCTCCAGTTTCCCTACAGAAAACCCAAACTAGAACACAAATCAAAACAAAAAACATAGTAATAACAGGCATTCGTATACATTGGCCATTATTTCGTAGCTTCAGCATCCTGTTTTCGCGTTTGAACATTCCTAGAAAACAATCAATACAATAGGATCATTACTCTATAACAGCAGTGCACATTTTAAAAATAGGCCAAAATTACAGTTTTGAGTACACAAGAGAACAATAATCCCAATAAAAAAACCCTAAAAATTTTACAGCATAATTTCCTCGATTCAGGTTTTCTGTTCAATTAAATAGAATCATATGCTAAATATACGATTTAATTCAAGTTATAACATCTTTTATTGAAATACAGAGGATCAAAAATACTTTAAAAAAAGCCCAACAACTACGATTATGAACACCAAATTACAACGTGAATCAATACTATGAAGCGAGTTATTGCAAATTACCTTAAGGCGTTTGCCTTTTGATGTCTCAAAACACCTAATAGATCAAAATCAATTGTATTCCAGGAGGTTTTAGTGCTTTGACTGTTCATATCAGTGATGATGAAGAAGGAAGAGGGAAGAAAGATTAATTGCACGCGCTACGATGCGAGTACGGGTGCATTTCGCCAACTACAGTTTCGGGTTTGGGCTCGGGTCATATTTTATGGATTAGACCTTGGGCCCAAATATATAAAAAATCTTAAAGAACTTAATGGGGTAGCCACTTTCTCCATCCTTCTATTTGTTGTAGGGAAAATTAAGGAGAATAACCCTTTGTTATTAAACTAACCCTTTAGTTTAACTATCAATTTCTTACTTGATTTAGCATTCCAAGGCTATAAAACTAGTAATTTTATAATTTCTCTTTATTATCACTATTCAACGTTTCTTTATTAACATAAGTATGACGTTCTCTTATGTTGATCCCAATAGTAACGTTACGAAACAATGCTCATTGATTTTGAAAGAGACACCTAAGGATACTATATGTCGATGTGAAAAGATTTAAAAGATAGGGGTGTGCACTATTCGGATTAAACCGAATAACCAAATCAAATCAAACCGAATTTTTATTTGGATTGGTTTTTTGGTTTTTCGAATTGGTTTTGGATTAATAAATTCCTTTGTTTGGTTTGGTTTCAGGTTTTAAAATATAAGAATCGAAAAAAACCAAATTATATATATATATAATATTAAGGTTTAGAATTAAGTTGGAGTTAACCACTTTTGTCCCTTTTTGGTTATTGCATTTCATGATGATTACGTTTATATTTTATGTTTGAGTTACATCTATAATAGGTATACTTATAAGTGTTGTGTTTTAAGTTTTACTTATGATTTATATTAGAAAGTATACTTGAGGGATTAAATATTATTACTTTGGTTATGTTATTAATTATTGACATAACCGAATAACCAAACCGAAAAAAGCCGAACCGAATAGAGAAAAACCAAATCAAACCAAATTTACTTTGAATCGGATTGGATTACACTTTTACAAAACCAAAAACCAAAAAATCCAAACCGAATAGTGTAAAACCAAACCGAAAAATCGAATGCACACCCTACTTAAAGATTATAAATTTTGGTGGTACGTAGATGAGAGTTGGCAAGGGCATGTCGGTGTAAAAGCTAAGGTGTAGCCTGTATGCAAGTGACTTAAATTAAGGAAGACAAAACACAGAAATTTGGTTTGTTGGTGTATATTAGGAGGTCAATTAAGTCACTTCAGAAGTTTCTCAACAGGTATATTACGTGCTCAACATTATATATACATTTTATATGTTTGATATTAATCATATAATAATGAGTTCAACCATATTATATTGTGGACTTCATAACTGACTTCCTTCTTCACTGTTCTTAATTGGCTACTCTATATTTTAGTGTGCCCATAAATTAAGCAAGTGGTTGAGTTACCATATTTTAAAAGAAATATATGTAATTTCTTTCATATTCTACAAATTCGGTCATAGTATAAACCACAAATGGTATTAGGATATCGATTAATTCAAATTCATGCGAAAGACTCGTTTAAAAAGAAAGTGCTTTCTAACAAAATTATTCCATATTTAAGGCTCGAATTCAAAACTTCTAATCAAAGATCGATCAAAATACTCAATCTATCCTATCGCACCTCTTATTGGTCGTACGTAAATTATTGGAGTGACACATAAATTGGTTTTGTGGATATCATAGGTAGTAGTGGGTCAGATAAGAAGTCCTTAGAACATGCATTGCTACATCATGCACAACCTTTTGGTTTCACTTTCACATCATATTCATACATGTTAAAATAGTTCCCTTACAACATTGGGCATGATCAAACGGACCCCAACCATGTGGATTTGTGCTTTGTTTGGCTGTAGCCATGTTACCCAACTTCCCATTTCATTCATTAATTTCACTTTTTGACTTATATTACTTCATGTCTCCATACATATATGACCTCAACTCCCACTTTGTCCTCTCTACACCCTTAGTAACGTCGTGGTAAAGTAATAAATATTTTTTTATTCTTGATCGAAAATTTTTAATTTAAAACTTTGGGTAGGAAATTGTCTTTGATAAGAAATATTTTACACCCGGACCCCCGATCCAAGTGAGACTTTCCTCCAGCGCAAATTTGAATTAATCCGAATCTAAATGAAGTATCGGACACCAAGTAAAAAAAATTTAAAAAAATCTTTTTTTGAAGATGCAAAGAATTTCCATTTCCTCTTTGTGCAGACGGCCTAGTCGTCATATCTTGGTGGGAAAAAAATCGTCTATTTTCCAATACTCTTAAGTGTATTTATATGCTATAAATAAGATGTAGGGAGAGGAGAAACGATAAGTTAATCGAGAGCGATGATTTGAAGCTTATGAATTCAAGTTTTAAGATTTTCAAAGTTAATTATCGGAGTTGATATTAATAATTTGTATATATACTAAAAAAATGAATTTCCTCAGATAAATATAGTATTTGAACTAAAATTACTGAGTTTGATCGTATTCATACTTATTTTAAATTTCGCCTCAAGACTACTTGAATGAACACGATCCAATAACAATATTTGAACATTAAAAAATGAATAATGAATTAATTTGGAATGATTGGAGTACTTATTTGTATCGTTTTTCTTACACGGTCATAATCGTCAAGAATTCGATCATGTCAAAATGGAAAATGATAGTAACATACTATTCCTAGAGATGATTTTTGTATAGTACTAATAATAATACTATATTGGATTGTTTAGCTACCTTTTGACTCATTGGTGAAAATGGTGAGCCAAAATTGAGTAAATTTTCTGATGAATTAAGCAAGCGTAGGCCATATTAATCATAAATACTGTTTAAACGTCAATTCTTGTCTATCCTTATCTTCATTGTCGTATCATATCCTTCGTCTCAATTTGTTTATTTTACCTTTTTTTTAATTTGTTTAAAAATTAAAATAAATAAACAAATTAAAACGAAGGAAATATTTATGTAGGCATTTGTCCAAAGAAACAAAAAAAAAATCAGTAATTTTTTTAAGGAGTTTGTATTTAGTTATTGTTTTTGCAAATACAGTATTATTTTAATTGTTGAAAGTCAAAACAGGATTTTGAATGTTTTCTTAATTCTAAATACAATTTCAAGTTCTATATTGAAATTGTCATGACATAATGCTAGTTTTCAAATAAATTTGGTAAAAGTTTGACAAGTAAGATTATGATCCATTATTTAGCCCATTTTGATCCAACTCATCTCAATCTAATAATCTTTGAACGAATTAATGAACCACTTATTTATTAACTCATTCATAGTGAGTTTCAAAAACTCATCCACTCTAGCCGATGTTTTTTTTTTTTGGTTACTTCAAAAGTAGTTGCTTCAGCTTCAACTATTTGAATTTTCAATATTCTTTTTTATTTCTCATCAAACAAAGAGCATCTTCTCACTTCAAAAACAAGGGCTATTGCGACGTTTCCAATTTATAATGAAGAAATGATAGTAGCTCTATGTTTTATAGGCTTCATACGTAATACAACGATTTGAACCGTCACAATGAACTATAACGGTGTTGTGTGAAAATAACGTAATCTTATCAAATCACAAAGCGTATCACGACGATTTTTCAGAAATCATTGTAATATATATTGAAAATCCTAATATCATTGCTATTAATTACTCAAACAAGCATGAACCACTATGGATGTGAGCCATTCAAAAACTTAAAAGGTCAAGACTATCTTCCAAAAGTGTCCTAACTTATTGTGGATGAGACATTGTTAATTTTCTATTCTACATGCGTAGTACTAAAAAATGTACTAGCTAGTAGCCAAAACATATAGTAGCACAAAAGGCAAATAGCAAATTGTAGATAAACTTTCCTTTTTCTATTTCACCTTTATAAGCAATAAGAACTCTCTATCCTCTTTTTTATTTATTTTTGGTCTTAAGCTTTGTGTCCCTTTTTTTGTGGGAAACAAAAACAGGCAATAGCATCTAAACAAGATGGTCCATCACACACACACACACACACAGTAGAGTAAGAAGAAGGAGAATAATAGAGCAATAAATCCAAACAACGTAACATCCTTTTTATCCAATAACGCGTACCATTCACCTTTTCCAACGCACAATTCACTCTGCTTTCACATGTCAATGTTTCGATTATGATTCCGTCGTCTCCTTCCTAAATAAGTGATATTTTTAGCATGGACATGCTTTTTGACAGTGACGTAGCCACCTATAGCCCATGATGATCAATCAGACACCCTTCGTCGATAAATTGTACTAGGTTAAAATTTCTGACTTCGTCACTATTTTAAGAAATTACCTATTCATAAATGATGGACTACAGCTGATGTAAGAAGTGTTGCTTAATTATTACATGAAACTTAACCGCGCATACTAATTCAAAAATTTTGAAGTAGTGGAAAGTGTAACTCTATCTAAAAGATGTTTATAGTGGCAAAAGTCAAAAAAGGAGAAAAGTTTATCAGATGGACAGCAAAAGAAAAGCCTGAAATTATGTTAATTACTAATTATTAGTAGTAAAACCCACTAAGTTAAGCAAAACTAGCACTTAAAAGTTATAACATTTCTTTTAATGTCAACAGTACATGCAGGAGACAAGAGTAATTAGCCACAATTTTCCTCCTCTTTTTATTTTTCATTCTGAAGATATAAATAAAGGAGCAAGAACAAGGATTGTGTACTTTATAGTTGCAATGGATATAATTAAATTATAAGGAGCAAGAACAAGAACAAGGATTGTGTACTTTATAGTTGCAACGGAAACTGTTGATCGATCTTATTAATAAAGAATCAACCCAAACTCTACTTCGAATCACTAGAAAATAAACAATTTTTCCAAAAACTAGATGTGTTTTTGTTTTTCTTTTGTGTTGGGAGAAATCTATTTTTCACGCTCTCTCTTTCTCTGCAGAAAGATCATTGTTCCTTAGCTGCTACACTTGTTTTTCAAATCCTCTAGGAAACCTCCTCCTATTTTATCTCATCTTAATGGTCGGCTCAATCCACATAAGTGATTCGCAACGCCAAATTAATTATCCAACATATAGCTACATGAGTTCAATTGTCAATATATATCACCTTTGCGATATATGAGATGGTGGTTCAATTTTTGAGCGAAAACGATAATTAA